GCCCCGGTACCTCCTGCCGGCAGCCGGACGGAGCTCTCGGGCCCGTGTCCCGCCGCGGGGGGGCGGTGCCCGGTCACTCCTTCCCGCGGGAGGGAGGGCTAAGGTAGCGCTGCGGGTTTGCCCTGAGAAATCAGGGGAGCGGTGATGCCGGGGGTCACGCTTTGGGGTAGCGGGGGGTCAGGCTGGAGGGGGGTGTTACGGTTGGAATGCCCAAAAGGTTGGGGGGATCCCGTGAAAGGGCGAGTTCCAGCGGGCTCCTCCGCAGTCCTTCGCTGACCAGAGGTCCAGGTGAAAGGGCCGGGGGCTTGGATGGGGCTGTGGAGCCGAGCTGAGACCCTGGAACACGGGAGCCCGGCCTGCTCCGGGGACCGTCGTACCTCCCACGCGTGCGCCTCTGCTCAGGCAGCTTGCTGGGAAGGAGACATAAGCTGTGTCAACTCCCTTCTGGAGAGGAAGGCTGTAACAAGGGCCGCCGGCCAGGAGAGAGGGCATGGGATGCGCCCAGGAGCGGGGCAGAGCTGGTCACCCCGTGTGGCTGACGCCACTTCGGCACCGCTTAGTTCGGAATGGAGGTTCGGTTGTGCTTCAGGCGTGTTAGCTGACAGTAGCTCAGATGCTTCCCATCCTTGCATGGGAAACGGTTAATTGCTTTAGCTTCTGGAGGGAAAACAGGCTTGTTAACGTGGGCTGATGCTGCTGGCGCCTAAACTGGGTGGCCTACGGTTTCTCTGGCAAGTTAAGGAGTTCTGCTGGAGCTTCCCAGCCTGTTACGGGTGTCCCAGTGCAGAGTCTTCACGGTGGGAAATAGCAGGGGAAAATTGCTTTGTGTAGGTAAAATATCTTGAAGGGTGGCTGTTGTTTTCCTGTGTTCTGGTGGGCTTAAATCCTAACTTAAGGCAGAGGTGGCAGTTGGTTGGGTTTTTTTAATAACTTAGATATACTTTGGTGAGCGTTCTTGTTGACAGAAGAACCCTTCTTTTTCTCTAGTTGCTTTGCCCTTTACGTTAGCAGAGGTGTTTGTGGCAGATGTACCAGGAGGCTGATCCAGATCAAAATTAACTTTGCTTTGGTCTAACCTGATCACTTCCCTGATTTCCATCACCAGGTAGAGGCACTCCGTGGCCTTGCAGGCAATAGGAGAAGGGAGGATAGAGATGGGAGTGAATGGTTGGAAACTGCAGATTGTCTTCTAGTGGCACTTTGAGAATTAACATGCTTGTGGAACTACTACCTTTAGCTTAGTTTGCCAGCTATGTGTCTGGATGTTCATTTTAGCTTCTCTTTGCTATTCAGGCAAAAAAAGGCAGAAAGTAAATTTTAAGTTATTTTTCCCTTGAGGACTCTTGCACAAAAAGAAGAAGGTTGTGTTGCAGACATCCAGGGAATCATTCCTTCCGGGAAAGCTTAGGTTGAGTTTTAGAAACTTTACTATTTTTTTTTAATTGTGGAAGCTGAATTTTATAAGAATCTGGAGTTTGGACTAAACTTCTTGTTCAGATATCTGTATATGCTTTATAAATATGTAGTGTAAAGCCAGACTCCTTATCCTCCTGGGATTTTTTTTTGCCTCTGCGCTGTGAGAATAGCCCTCACTTTCTCTTTCTGCATCACTTAGGACATCGTTATCTGTCTTCTGCTTGTTTAATGACTCAGCTTGTCTTCCACCTAAGATGTCATGGTTCTGGATGGCTTTTTTAAAAATATAAAAATAGCTAAAACTGTTGCAACGCTAATAGGTGTTATATGTACTGTTGTAACATCTACTTTGTACTTTTGACTTGGATGTGTAGGCTGGAAGGGCTAGGGGGAAGGTGGAACTAAAAATGATGTTAAAGGTCATTGAATCACAGGCTGAACTAATAGCATAGTACACTTCAACATCACCTCTCTATACTGCCAAGCCACCTCTTCCACTCATGAACAAGTCTTGATTACCTGATGGACTAACAAGAATGTGTTATATTCTCTTGGTGGCTTGGATAAAATAACAAGCAGGTTTGGGTTTTCGGTGGGATTTTTCTTATGAGTTGGTTTGTGTGGTGGGTTTTTTTCCCCTAACCAGTCTTTAAGTGGGCCGTTTCTATTAGTCCTTTATTGAAAACACTGAAGTCTTGATATTTGTACAAACCACCCGAAACAAGTAAGACTGGTAGCTGAAATCCCTTGGAGCGTAGCTGCTAGCAGATGCCTAGAAAAGAGATCTTTCCCTGATATACCCTTCCAGCTGCCAAAAGACTGTGGTTTAGGGGTTTCTTGACAAGGGATTCTACTCAGGTTACTTGCTAGAACAGCAACTGATGGATCTATTTCTCCACAGACACCCTGCACCTCATGATTTTGCCTTCTGAATTACTTGTTTTGAACCTGTTTGTACTTTCAGATTCCATTATGTCGTATTGCAGTGAATTCCACAATTTAATAATACTTCCCCCTCCGCCAATGCAATTAATGTCTAAAACCATACAATGCTCCCTTGTTCTCCTACTGTGTAGCTGTTATTTCCTTATACACTATTCTTTTTATTTTCATCAGCATGAGTAGCCACTGAAGCCACTTTGTTACTGACTAGCACAATATGTTTTGGCTTTATAAAATATTGTCTGCTTCAGTAATGTCTCCTTGTCTAGTAGAAACATGGGTTGTATCACTGTCTCCTGTAAATGCACATTTCAACGTAAGCCTTCTTGCTTGTAGCTAAGCCATTAGCAGACTGCACCCCTCAAGCACTGTTGTAACTAAAATCCATGTGTGTAGATTTTTTTGTAGAGTGTTTGTCCGGTTTCCTATTCTGTGTAATTTAGGACAGTAATCTATAGAAATAATACCCGGGACTGCTACACCAGGTGTGGTGGTGGGGAGGACACTACCTGCACATTTCATGTTCTGTGGAGGGCTGAAATACCTTCTTCGCTATGACTGCAGGCTGGTTTTTTTTTTTTTCTTTTCTTTTCCTTTTTTTAATACTAATTATAAAATATTTAGGAATGAAAAGTTTTACCGACTTGAAGTATGAACAGTGTGTATTTGCTGCATTAGAGTGTAAAAGGAGCACTTCTTAGGTGAGGATTTCCATTTTATCCCCATTTGACAGTGAACTATTTTGCTCTACTGCCAGCTGACTTCTCTGAAGTAGCTACAGTTACTTCATTAGGTCTTGCAGGTGAATCTCTCATACCCTCTCAGTTTCTAGGGAAACTGACATGTTATTTTTTTTAGCTTGCATCAATACCAGGAAGAAAACTGGCTAAACATAATTCTCTGTCTTTTTCAAAGGGAGAAAGGAAACACTGATCCTGCTGCTTTCATGGTTGCTTTTGGAGGGGCCTGGCTTCAGTAATCCTTCAAGCTTAGACACAGGTCTCTCTAAAATAGCATAGGAAGCTAGAATTTTAGGACAGAAGTTCATGCTAACAGTAATAATTACTTTGTATTGAATTTCTATCCATTTAAAAAAAACTCTTTTAGCATTTACAGCAGGATCTAAGCAAAGAGCCCCCCAAACTGATCAGAGCAGATGTCATCCAGTGATAAAGACTTGTCCTGCTTGCTGTCAACTTCATGGGTTCCATCATGTCTCATTTATTTGTTTTTTTTTTAAAGCCTTTGTTCCTGTTGTCTATAATTTCCTGGAGGTTACTGGGAATAGGGGAAGACGGGAAGAGAAGAGCATGAATTATGGATTTGCAGTTTGGGCAGTGATGGCAAAAGGGGCCAGGGGCTCAAGGGTTCTCATGCAGAAAGCAGAGAGAGGGAAGGGAGGCCTGTGGTGGCTAGGTCTGTAGAATTGTTTAAGAAATGGTGCAGTGAATTTATAAAAGCTGATCTTGCTGATCTATGCTGTTTAGAAAGCCATATGTCTAGGGAGACCAAAAAGCAGGGGAGGGTCTAGGTGACTCCAGCTAGCTCTACTATTAACTGTTTGGAGGGAGAGGAACATTGGCTAGGTGCTGTCTCTGCTTCTCTCTCTTTTTAAAAAACTCCCTTAAAAAAAACCCAACACCCCCAACCCACCCCCAAACAAACAAACCCCACCACCACCTCCTTTTAAACTGAAAGAGGGATTGTCTTGAGTTTTTTCCTGTAAGAGGGGAAATGAGGGGAAGATACTGACAGTCATGACATCATGTAAACTGCAAGGGGACAGCTAAGCTTTGTGGGAGAGAGAAGTAGAAGAGAGGGTGAACTGGAACAGCTGGTGTGAGCTGGGGACATGGGGGTGTGAAGGAAGAAGCATTAAGCCCCTGACCTGATAGAGGAAAAGTGTGAAGCACTGACTGGGGTGGGGAATCCAGCCAATACCCATGAGTGAAGAACAGACCACTCAGTAGTGAATGGGAGAAAAAGGTATTTGGCATAAAGTAAGACAGCAAAGGTTCCGAAACCCTGACGCAGAAGGATGGGAGATCTTTCAGAGGGAGCTTGTTGAGGAGAGGAGGATGCTAAAGGAAGGCAAGGAGATCCTGCTGCACATGAAATGCACTTGGGCTATAGTATGATTATTTGATTTTATTTTTTTTTCCCCTCCCTGTCCTCTCCTCATGCTGTAATGAAGGTTTAAACAGGCCCTTCCCTTCTCCTGCTATTAGTATGATTGTACATAGTGCTTTGTGCTGAACAGAAGCGAGGGAAATGATCTGTGCTTGGGGGGAAGAGGGAGGGAGTCCAGTAAAAATGTCTCTCTCTGTTCTGGATCTGGTCCAGAGAGGGACCATGCAAACCAGGGCAAAATTAGTAGCTGTGGATTGAAGAAGTGAGATTATGACTAAATGTGATGAGTAATTAAGGGGGGGATGAATCTTTAAATATTGCAAGATCTTGGGCTGTTGAACCCTCTGGGCTTGAGAGCTTTGCTTGAAATAAGTGGTAAGGGATGTCCTTGGCACATGTAGTCTTTTGCAGCTGTCCATGTTCTTTTGTGGGGTGGAATCACAGAAGCAGAAGAAGAAGGACTGCTGTTCAACCTACACTTTTTCCTGAAGGAGAGGCATGCCACACATACCTGTCAAAGACTATGTGCACATGGTTTTGTTTTGACACCCTCTGGTTCAGTAGATGGCTAGACCTGCTGTACCAAATCTGTGTGTGACAAGATTCTGGGGCTGTATCATCTTTCAGACATCCTTTTTAACTGGAGCAGAGAAGTATCCCCACTCCTTCCCCCTTCCCCCAGGTTTGTGTTCTCTTCTAGTTCCATGAGAATAGCATCTAGCTCTGGCCAAATAATACATTTGCTTGGACAGGATATAACTTTGGGCAGAGATAATAAACACCTCATCAGTGAAAAGCTGATGATTATTGGGAGCCTCCTGACCTTTCTGCTGAGTCTGTCAGCCATGTCAGCATTCTCAGATGCTCCCACTTCTCTAATTTGCAAACTACTTGGGTCCAGCGTGGGAAGCCAGCAGGGGACATCCCTGGATGGAGAGCCAGGCATGTGAGAAGGCAGAGGAGACAGTAGCTGTAGCTGTATTGAGAGGGTGGACAGCAGAGAGAATCTGTGGTTATTAGAGAATTTGGAAACCTCTGTGCACCTTCAGTGATTTAGAAAACTGTATTTTACCGATTGAAGAGCATTCATTTAATCTGCTAAAAGCATAGTTGATTGCAAGTGACCTTTGGTTATTACCACTTTGGGTTAAATTTGAACTGACAGCCTAGGGATGAAAAGCTCCAGATTGTGTTTCTAAGCTCTCTCAGACACCTGTTCCCTTATTCTTACTAGGATCTTCTTCCCTTTTCCGCAACTGTGGGGATATAGATGCATCCGCTACAGGTGTTAATGGATACAGATGATCCTTACTGGGAAGAGGATGAAAACTCTCCCCCTCTTTCCAGATCATCAAGGAGCAGAGCGTTTTAGTTTCGGAGTCTGGGGGGACCGTTGCTTTGATTTGTCCCAGCAAGAGCTAATGCAAACAGACTTGGATCAGCAGTCTTAATGATTATACCTGTACTATAACTTGCAACTTGACAAGAGCCATTGCTTTGTCAAAAAGACCTAACATGAGAAGTTTGAGTTGAAGCTGATTTATTTGTTTATTTTTACACTTAATGTGTTACACTTGTTTTGAGGTAAGGTAAATGTAGACGATGTGACCTCAAACAGGAATTCTTGCATCATGTTCTGTGGGTTATGGAAACTTTCATAAACTAACTACAGTAACTAGCATGCAAGCCTTGTGTTTTGGTTAGAATTGAGGCTGTACTTCATGGAGCTTGCATTTCAAAAGATTGTGATAATACCAAGCATATGGCATACAGAACTATGGCTAATGATTAAAAAAAAAAAGTGCCACAACAGATTTCTGTTCCTGACTGGTGTTTCAATTATGGAAGTGATTCAGTTAAATAAGAAAATGCCCATGCTCTGGCATTTGACTTAATTGGTGATGTGCCCCAGACTGTGGGGGGTGAATGCAGAGTGGGTAAGGAATTTGGCTAGCATATTTAGCACTGGATACAGTCTACTTCTGTCTGTGATTTGGAGAACCTGATGACTTTAAAGGAAACTAAAATCTATTTTAGTTATAGGTAGATGGTTGCAAAAGGAGGGGAGCCTAATGCAACCAAAAAACCAGTGGTGTCCTGGACAGAATTGCCGGGTGTGGCCTGGTTTACTTACCAAAATCCAGGGATTAGCGTGACAAGTTTTGATAGATCTCAAGCCATCATTTCGTAACTAGTAGAAGTATGTCACAGTAAGGACGCCTTGTAAAACGCTGCAGATTACCTTTGTGGCAGTTCACAGTAGTATCGGTGATAAAATTGGAAATGTCTTTAAAATACTACTTTAAAGGACTACAGTGAAACCAGTGGTTTCTCCTAGCCTTTCTGCTCATAATGCTTCATTCATAGGTCTGTGTGAGGAGCTGCCTTGTTTGAGCAGTATCAGTTATTCTCCATACAACAAAGTTATCCTGAATAAGCTGGTATAGGTACTGTGGTAGCTTTAGTATGTGGATTATATCACAAGTGAAATGATCTTAGCTTCAATAGGGGTCCTAACTGTGCTTTTATGTCCTGAAATACCTGAGCAATGGCTGACAACCCTCCGTTTTGGAAAGGTGGAGAGCAAGAACAGGGACTGCCAGGTAGCTGCTGCCTCCCTGCAGAACATCTGACCAAGTGAGCTTGAGCCAGGAGAGGCCCCTGAGTTCTCCGTTCCTCCACATGATCTGCAAACCCGGGGTGGCAGTAGGCATCTCCTGCTGTCCACAGGCTCTGTCCTTCCCCCTTTGTCAGAGGAGAGAAACATTTTCAAAAGTTGGCTAAGAACTCGCTCCCTGGTTTAACCCCATCCCCCAACACAAAATTCCTTTGTTTAACTGTACTAACAAGGGAGAAGAAACCTAAATAATTTTACTAATTCCATTGATAAACATCAAACATATTGCTGCCATCACTTGACCTGGATTTCTGTAGTGTGATCTCTGGGGGGGGGGGGGGGGTTGGGGA